CTTGCTGCTGGCCTATTGTGAGATTCTTGAGCCTCCGTAATACAATCAATTTCCCTAACAAGTCCCCACCATATATCTGTACCAGTATTTCATACATACATACATACATACATACATACATACATACATACATACATACATACGAAGGCAGGTGATAATGAATTCACTAGACCCAAGATAAATGATAAATGGGTGTTTTATTGTGGAACAATTTACACAGATAATAATAAAGAATCGCCACAGCCTTTCTCTGCCCGATCCAATCTGCAACCCAAGAGAGGTGCATGAGAGCACCAGCCAGGCTTCAAGCTTCCCTCTTTCCATCCACACCTGAAGCCACGCCCAAATGGGGGTGGCCACTAACACAAATACACTGGCAAGGAGAGATGCTGCTACATACATTCATCCTGTTGGGTTTGCCTCTTTGGAGAACCTGGATTTAGTGGGGTTATACTTGCCAAACAGGATGAGAAATGTGTTTATTTGGAGAACAGATGCAGTGGCTCTCACTATTCCTAATGCTGTGACCCTTAAATACAGTTCCTCATGTTGTGCTGACCCCAACCATAAAATTATTTGATTGCTACTTCTTCCTGCCTCTGCCTCTTCAATGCTGTGCTGCCTGCTTGATCCTTACATTCTGATTTGAAACAGTCCAGGTTCAATGTAACAATTTTAAAGTTATATTCAAATTATTTAATTTAGAACCACCATTCTTTTTTATATAAAGGGCATCTGCTTTGCATAACCACAAAGCCATTCTAACAAATGTATTAGTTTCACTAAACTCTATTTTCTGTAATGGTTTCATTCATTTTCTAATTTTAATTGATCAAACCACCTTTGTGGTGATATCTTGTTTGTACTCTAACAAATAAAGCTTGCTTGAAGATCAGAGGACAGAGCTAGCCACTAGCTAACCACAGAGGTCTGTAGGTCTGTACAGACAGACAGGAGATGGCTGGGCAGAGGGAGGATACAGGTGAGAGGAGTCAGGAACTAAGTCTCCTTTTGGCTGGCAAGTTGAGGAGATAAGGTGTGACCGGTTTGTTCCTTTATCTCTCAGATCTTTCAGCATTTAACCCTATATCTGACTCTTGGCTTTTATTATTAAGACCTATTAGAACTTGTGCTGCATACCTTCTAGAAAGACTGGAACAATGTACATTCCCACCAATAACGTAAAAAAATGTTCTCATTGATCCTAATTTTTGCTACCACTATGGATAACTGTTATTTTTGATTTTGTATCCTGCTGCTTTTCTTTAAAGTATTTATGTGAATGAGTGTTTGCCTGCATGTATGTATGCACAGGGTATTTGAGGACAGAATAAAGCATCAGACCCACCGGAGTTAGGGATGAGTGTGAGCTGCCATGTGGGTGCTGGGAACTGAACCTGAGTGCTCTACAAGAGCAGCAAGTGCTCTTAACCTCTAAGACATCTCTCTAACCTCCTTTTCTATCATTTTCATTAGACACTTTTTTCTTGTGTTCATAAAAGTGGCTGTTATAACTTTCTTTTCTACCTTTTTTTTTTTTTTTGCTTAAAAAATTCATTATGAACACACCACAGTTGAATAAGAGTTCTGACTTTCATGTTTAACTTTTTTTAAAAAAATTTTTTTTCTTACTTTCAAGACAGGGTTTCTCTGTGTAGTACTAGCTGTCCTGGAACTTACTCTTTAGAGTCGGTTGGCCTCAAACTCACAGAGATCCACCTGCCTCTGTTTCCTGAGTGTTGGGATTAAAAGCATGTGCCACCACTGGCCAGTGTAAGTAAATTTCTTATATCAATATCTTTATGTCTTATTTTTAGCTTTTTGAGTCAGTCTTCTAAGGGCTGCTGGCAAAGAAAAAAACAAAAACAAAAACAAAAAAACAAAAACAAAAAAACCAAAACATGCATTTCAAACTTTTATTTTGTCAAGTTACCTTTAAAAAGACTGGAACAATCTACATTCCCACCAATAATGTTAAAAATCAATTATTAGTCCTAATTTCTGGTAGCTCTGTAGGCAATTGCTGTTTTGCCATCTGATCCATATGAATGGTACCTTCAGGTGGATGCAAATGGTACCTTTTTGTGGCTGATTTATGTTTTACTGGCTGCTTTGGATACTTTCATGTTTATAGAGATACATTTATGTTTATAGAGATACAGAAGAACACAGATTGAATTAGACTCCTTGAGGGAGTCACAGCTTTATTACCCTGTGACATGGACAAGTTACTTTATTCCTTTAAAAGCTGCCTCTTTTGCTGGAGTATTTCCTCTCTCTTAAGGCAGACTGTGAAGGCCTGAAGCAATACCTAGCATAAAATAACACCAAATGACTAACAATTACCTGCATATGCCACATTTTGATCAACAATGAATCACCTATCCTACAGTGGTCCCTTGACAGATTCTGCCCTAGTGGCATTGGGCGTTTTAGTTTGTGTGACATTCACATAACAAAACTGACTAAATGCACTTCTCGGGATACATGCCTGTGGTTACAACACACAACTATTAGTGCAATGAATAGGAAATCTGTATATCTGAGATAGTAACCCTAAGTTTATTACTTATGTTGGAGATACTTCCTTAGTCTAACATCTTTTTATACATTTGTTTTACATAAATACATCTCTTTATGGCTTCTAGGGTCCGTTTTATGAAAACTTATTGGTTTCTCTTTTGGCCAATCATGTTACTTTTAGATTTTAGTAATACTATAATTTTATCTCATTCTTTTAACTTAGCAATTTAGGAACTCATCTTTGAGTGCTAGTTTGGACTCAAGCACTGAGGACCGGGATTTTATTTCTTGCCTAAAGCTAAATCTGGACTGAAGCTGTTCTTTTCAACTCAAGTTATCCAATGAACAAGTAACTATCTCTGCCTAACACTTTTGGATCTCCAACATTTGCTTTTATTATATATGATTCCAAACATCAAGGGAGGATACTGTTACTAGACTCCCTCCCTGATGTGGAATTTATGAATGTATGAATATATGTCATTGTGATTGACTTAATAAAGAAGTGAGCTGGCCAATAGCTGAACAAACTTAGGTTAGGCAGAAGAGCCAGAAAGAAAATGCTGGAAGAAGGGTGGAATCTGGAGTCAACAAGCCAGACGAAGAGGAAGCAGATGAATGTGTCATGCTAATGAAAGTACTCCTTTCATTATGTGGCAGAGTAGTAAATAAAGGAATATGGGTTAATTAAAAAATGTAAGAACTAGTTAGTAGTAGGTCTGAGCTATTGGCAGAGCATTTGGCATTAATATAAGCCTCAGTGTCAGTTACTTGGCAACTGGCAGATGGGACAGAAACTTCCACTTACACCTCCAGGGAAAGTGTGTTCGTGTATGTGTGCATGCACATGCTTTCCATCCAAGACTTTGTTACCACTATCTTCAATTCAGTTTCATGGGTATAAATTGTTTTGATGAAGGTCTGAAGTTTACTATTTTATTCTCTGCTTCCCTCAAGTCATTTGGTTACCACCAACAGAAACCCATTTTAAGATTACATTAATTTGTATGTTTGTATTGGCACAAATGTAGATAGAGGTCAGTGGACAATTTACTGGTACTGGTTCTCTCCTAGTATGTGGGTACTGGAAACCCAAAACTGGTTGTCAGGCTTGGCAGCAAGTACATTTATCAGCTGAGCCATCTTGCCAATTTCATTTTTTCCTTACAAAAGGTAAACTTGTAAAGAGGATGTATGATAGTCTACAATTAAAGGAAAATTTGAGTAACATGCCTTGAGACAGGTAGGTATGAGGATTCTTTAGGGGATTTTGTATTATTGCCTGTATTGTTTCTTTGGGACACTTGCATCAGAATGATTCAATTCCTGCCACTCCACTTTGCCTCTGTTCTCTTTAAATCCCAAAGTAATGATGGGAGAGCAATTTTGATAGGATACATTTAGGCTGCTCAAATTTTGGCCAGGAGTATGAGGTCAGTGTATTGTCATGCACTGTTCCACTAAAACACAGACAGGCAAGGAGTAGGTTTTCAAAGAAGAGTGGAACTGTCAGTGAAGGAAGTGATTTGGGGCAGGCCAAAGCAATGGATGTCCATTATACCAATAGTGGAGAATCTTCAGTGGACTAGTAGCCAGGATGTAAATGCCACACTGTCTACACTCTTAATTCAAGACCCTCATAGGAGTTTGTCTAAGCTGAAAATCCAAGGTACATGTGCAGTAGATTTAGCAATCCAAAAGGCCTTACTGAACTTTATTGCAGTCACTCATTTCCGTCTAGTTGCCTAATGTGAGCAACACAATCAGGATTTAGTAGTTTAGCCATCACTTTTAAATCTGGAATCTTTCATGTAGAATGAAGCTATCAAGCTATGGTAATTTTGATGACTCAAGATGTTTTAAAGGATGCTTTAAAAACTAAGGAACAATTACCAAACTCTAAGCTTTCTAAAGTGTAGCAGTCTGCCAGTTTGCATAATGTAAGAATATGTGTTAGATTTGATAGAGGGTGTATTTTTAATCATTTGATAAATAGGCTCAAGGTTAAGTGATTTGCCAAGGTCAAATAATAGGCATTTAAAGTTCTTTAGTTTTTAAATAAAGTTTAAAAGTAATGTAGTGTAAAATAGTCAAATAAAGGTGAATCTCATGTAATCTACACTGCTCAAAGAAAGCCAGTGATACACTTTGAATGAGTTCACACCATACATTTCTATCAATAACTTGTTTGACAAGGCCTCATGGCTATTTTTTGATAGCCATTCATAATAAATTACCTTATCTATGTTAATAACTATGTAGACTTTCTTTTGTGGTTCAACCATATTGTATTCAACCAATCTGTGAAATTTCTATCAGTGATTTTTATGTTTCTGTAGTATATTATTGTTTTTCTTCTAGAAAATAATTTCAGTGTGGCCTTGACCTCTAGCTTAATAACTAACCTGAACATGTCAAGTTTCATCGCTGATAAATAGTCAGGACTCAATTTCAAGTAATAGAAATCCAACTCAAAGTAACTTCAACAAAAAAGGGTATTTATTGGTTCACATAACTGAAAAGTCCAGGGGATATACCACTAGCTTCAGGCACGGTTGGATCCAGGGGCATAAACGTTGCAATCAGAACTCAAGTCTTTCACTCTTTTGGCTGTTTCCCTCTGCACTGGCTTCATTTTTCTGCCTGGCTCATTCAACATAGTAGGCCCTGTTGGGTTGAGTTTTTCTCCTACAAATCTACAGCATTTAAGAGAACTTCTCCACAACTGAGTAAAACACCTAGGTTGATTATCATTGGATAAACTTGAATCATGCATCCATTCTGGAACCAATTACTAGAGTCAAGATGGACTCTGCTGATTGATGAGGTTGGAATAACATGTCCAGCACAAGATTCAACAAGACTGTCTAAATCACATGGACTGAAAATTGGAAGAGATGGTTCCAAAAAACTCCAGGAAGTTGTTATAGTGAGATGGAATGGACATTGGGCAATAAAAAAAACAACATCCAGGATTAAGACCAGGTACAAAGAGCTTAATCTTTGCTCATAAGGTTGACTTATAGTAGCTGAAGTGATTCTTCCTTGGTAATCAAACTCAAAAATCACTAGGAGTAATGTCCTAATAATTTCCATTAGCATCATACTCTGGGATTCACCACAGCATTTCCATTCAAGTCAGATTGATCAGTGCCTCACCACATTGGTGATGAGAAACAGGAAAACCAGCCTCCTACTTGGCAAACAGGTCTGTGAGGCTATTTGAGTTAGTGGCAAATTAAGTTCAGTGGTAAAGTTCTGGTGTTGCTAGATGTCTTGTCAAGGTGAACTTATAATTTCTGAGTCCTGGCCAATCATATTCATCTCTTAGTTATCACAGATAAAAAGCAATGTGCTCTGCTTTCAACCTGTTATACTCCTGTTAAACAAAACAGATGATTTAGGTGTTGGAAATAAGGAAGGTTATTCTTTACTTAGTTGCTGGTCTAAGAGTATGCAGCATGGTCCCTCCTTTTGGAATATTTTCTGGCAGGGTGAGGTACAGGTTCCTTCTATTCAAAATTCCTTGGTGGAACTGGGCACAAGAGATGCTGAAACTGTAGTCTTCTCAGGGACAGTTAGTGTGATTGCAGTAGCATGTCAAAACAGGCAGGTTAAGAGCTGAAGACAGGTAAACAGACAAATAACTTTAGCAGGGCCAGCCATACCAGTAGTTAAGCTATAATCTGGAAGAAGAGGCAGACTAATAAAGAAGCTCAATAAATTAGTTTTTGTCTTGGGTACTCCAGAGTTAATCCACAGGGTTTACTCCAGACATTTTTTGGATCTTAAAGGGCCAGTTGGGTATAGCAGCTTTCATTTTCCTGCTCATATGTGCAAGAACTGTCAGCTTTGAAGGCTATATCCTCAATGCAGACTTGAGATTCTAGTTAGGAGTCTATGCTACATCTGGGAGCAACAGGATCGTAGAGCCAGATTTGTTGTAGTTGGCTCTACTTTCTTTGGTAATCAAGTCTTCACCTTCTGTAATACAGCCCATCTCCAAGAATCATCCGAAAGGCAAGTCAAGGCCTCAGACTGGTTGGGTGGCACTGCTGTAAGATTCAGATGAGCTCTGAGGCAAGAAGACAGTAGACAAGGCCCGAGATTAAGGCGTTTGCCTTAAATTTTTAGTTTTTTTCTAAACCAATTACTAAATAGGTTCTTGATTCCTCATTTTAACCGAGTATGACAGGATCAGAGAGAATGACTGGCAGTGTAGATTTATTTTTTGTTTCTGCAAATATAGTAAAAAGAAAAAGCTAATGTAGAGGTAATAGAAAAGTGAAATCTGTAATTTCTTCTTTACAAATAGTTGCCATGTACAAGCAGAAGTCATCCAAATTTTGAATTGCTGTTTGTGAGTTTAGAATAACCAGATCTGAATCTGATTTGCTGATTTGTGTTGAGAATCACATAACCATGGTTAGAGGGTAAGAAATAAGGACATAAAGAAGGCAGTTCCGACGTTTACCCAATGCACTCAAGAATAGCTGATGATAGTTGGCCCTTAAATTGACTATGTAGTTGAGGGATGAAATTTTCTCAGGTCACAAATTACAGTCTTGTTCACTATGACATGATTTCAATATTCAGGAATTTTATCCTTTCTACAAAAAATAATCTTAATGTCTTAAGAATACTTCATAGTAAGGAATAAAGTCAGTCATTCTTAACTAGTGTAGTGATAGTATGAGACAGATGATATTCCATCAAAATATCCACAAGGATAGAAACTCAAGAACACTGAAAAAAATCCTTAGCTGCCATTTTAGATTTTCTTTCCAAGTTAGTCTACTTTTCCAGCAAAAAGGTTGACAACATGCTACTTGAACTGCCTAGCAAGCTATCATGGCCTAGAGTCAAAGAATCTGTGTTCAACTGTGCCCATCACATCCAGCTGATGGTACCAGGCATGAAGAATAACCATTAAGGAATAGCTCACTGGGTAGAAGAAAATTTTCCAGCTATATTTTAAGTCACATATATGATAAAGGATGTTCAGTGTGTATCTTCAGGGTCATCTGTTCCATGAAGAGGTGAGTAGTTCAATTAATTTTGAATACGCAGAAATACAAGTGTTGGAGAAATTTAATTTTTGTTTTTTAAACCTTGGAAACAGTAGTTGTTAAATAACAGAAAACCATGGAGGAGTTTAATTATTAGTTGAATCACATGATTTGAAATTTGAGACAGTGAATGATAACCAGGTTGCAAGCCCCTTAAGGAAAAACTGTATTTGAATTTTGCTTCATAGTTAATGGTTATGCTTTATACATGGAGTACCATAGTTAATGAGGAGAGGTCAAATAAACAACTTGGTCTAAGATGGCCTCGATGAGGCATCAGCTTCAATACCAGCTTTTAGGCAATTCGTATATCCATGTTCCAAGATTTCTACATCACATACTTTCACAGTTAATGATACATGAATTGCTCTCTGGCTATATTCAACTCCAGGAAGTCCACCTTGGATGGAATGCTATTAATAAAATTTCACTTGACAACGCTGTATGATCGTTCTCTGGACAAAGGCATACCCATCTCCAAACATGTTCATCAGCATCAACTGAATATGAATATATAGAGTTGGAAGTATATAAAAGGTCAGAATGTCCTTCAGGCCAAACGTCATCTAGGGCAGTGGTTTCAAGCAGTATTTTCTGAAGAATTTTACTTAAGGAAGTCCCTTTAGGTGTCATCATGGTGGTAAAGGCTGATCGATGTGGCAGGCTGCAGACCCCTACTTCTGCTTCACTACTTCATCCAGAGCAGCTTCACTTTACTCTGGACTTCCACACAGCTTTCCTTCAAAGGCCTTCATGAGCACAAAGCCTTTGGAAAACCAGTGATAAGGATAAGTTGTTCACAAAATGCTGAAATACAAAAAATAGGTCATGGGAACCAGGATATGGGTAAGCAAGCTCCATGCTAAGACAAAATAGACAACATGCTTATCTATTCTTTCCCTAATGTGAACCATGTCATTGATTGATGGAATTAAAACTTAATTCTATTGTAAATGCTGATTACTTAAAAGTTCAGCTTTTAGTGACAAAAAAGATAAGACCATGCACTACTTGTGGATAGCCCCATGAGTAGCTGGGCAACAGAAACTGGGCAGGGTGGGGAACATAAGAAGTTGAAAGATGGTAGGGAGTAGTTTTTGGGAAGTTTGAGTAAATAAATATGATCAAAACACATTAATAAAAATAATTGCATTAAAAATGACTACTGGGGAACAAGACTATTGGTTTTTAACTTGTAATAGCACTGGGAATTTACAAATATTACTTGAGTAGTCCAAGGTTGGATGACTTCACTTAAGATCTCACTGGGGCACAACTCTAATTCTAAGAATATCTCTTTTCCCTCCTTACTTGAGAAGCAATTCCTTTAAAAGTTACAACATGACTATTGAGAAGTTACTACTAATTAAACTGACACAAAAGTCAATTTCCCCCATTCTCTCACATTTTACAGGTTCCCTTGACAAAAAGGTAATAATTAAAATGTGAAACCCTTAGATGTAATATAATAATTCAAGCAGTTAATGAGAAAGGGCAGTTTCAAAGACTGATTTATTATGGAGTTTCCAGGCCAATCTGCTGATAATTAAGCACTGGTAACAGCTCTAACAGTTTCCCATTCTGTTAAAAGGAATACTGGAAAAACAAAACAAAACAAAACCAAAACTCCTGCAGCTGTCTGTGTGAATGATGTATGGCCCATTGGGCTAAAATAGTTACACGAAGCTTTGCTGCATATCTTGAGACCCTAATACACTACACTGCATTGTTTATGTGGGGACACATATTACATATTTCACCACCTCACTGGACAACAAAAACTATATGTAAAAACAAATGGCTCATTCTACCTATTAATTTGGGGACAGACCATAGGTTAAGTTTTCTGTGTCCAGGAACATTAATAAAACTTAAAACAAAAACAAGTACAGAGCTGTAGTTAGGCTATTCTTGGGAAGATGGTAAAAATGAGTAAGAAAATCTAAAAATGTTTTTCATATTGCATAGCCTTGTTTTCTATCTATCTTTCTTCCTTTCAAGCAAATCGCCAACCACCATGGAGACTACATGTTCCTACACCTCAGGGACATCATCAAGGGATTCTGGTCTAAATAGTTACTATGATTAAACTTCAAGCATCTTGCTCTAATAAAGGCCATATAAATTGGAAATGTGAACACGTTCAGTCTCCAACCATTTTAATACTGTGAATAAAGTGAAGGCTAAGATAACGCCAAGGGTAATACTGGACTGGGAGTCAGAAGGACTACCTTCTACTACCTTGGATAATTGCTTAAATACTTAAAATTCTGTTCCCTCATTTCAAACAGGGTTATGACTGTCATTAACATACATGTATATGAAAGTGCTTTGAACCTGTAAAGTGCTATATAAAACATAGGAGATTACCATATAGGTTCTATCTTGATGTGTCAAGAGGTCCTTTCCGGAATCTGGTTGAAGCCTTGTCAGATGGTTAGGTAAAGGGATTCCTTAGTAGAATTTCTTAAAATCGGCGTGGAAAGTTTTGGTTCCTGAGTAACCCAAAGATGTTACTATGAGGAATTCAATGTGCCTTGGTTGTGATCCTAGTGGGTCAGAATATCTTTTTTCATTCAGTAGACAGCTACAAATTTGAAGTAGGAAAAACAAGTCCAGTGACCTTGACAGGATCCTAGGCAGTTCATTAAACTTCAGTCATTTGAGATTGTGGAGCATGTTCCAATGCTGTTCTCAGAGATGATGCCATTTTCAGACAGTGTTGACAATTTAAGAACAAAACAAAACACAAAACCCCCCGGTCCAAGTTTACTATGTGTCTCTGAAGACTTTTAACTGTAGAAATGAACTGTACATTTATGGAATAAACTTGGCCTCTGTTGTGATAAAATAGCTTCAGTTATTTGGCTTGAAGACTCTTGACTGCAAGGGCTGTGCTGAATCTGAGCAGAGAAGAACAGGAGTGGAGGTAAAGGTCACATCATGATGGCTGAATGCTTCTTGGGTCACAGTGGTCCATTGGAATGGTGTCTTCTTCAGTAGTAAGGTGGTAGGAATCACCGTGGACAAAAATCCAGGTACCAGGTCTGCAGGCTGATGGACTAGCAGAAAGAAGGTCATCAGAAGGTCCAGGTGAGCACTCAGCAATCAGGAGGCACAGGACTAGAGGGGGGAGGAAAAACAGGTAAGGTAACAAGCACACAGAATTATAAACACAGGAGGCTAATACTGGGATGGGGGCTACTGTCAGCATATCAACTGTCTGATGGGTATTCACAAGCCTGGCTTAGATGGTAATAGAGAAATTACTAGAGGCAAGGTCAGCAAAATAGAAAAGCTGGATGAGCAAATGCTGATAGTTCTCTAGCAAAGGTAATTTTTTGACTGTCTCAGGGATCAACAAACAGGAAGTGCCTTAAAACTCCTACTCTGGGCAGTAATTTAATTGTTTTCAGGATGCTTGGCATTAGGTAATAGGGAGGAAAAGTGGTTTCACAATTGTCACAAAAAGAAATGAGATTTTAGGTAACACACCAATTTTACCCCTATTTTTTCAGTATTGTCCCAATGCTGTCTTATGCTCCTGTCCTTTAAAACTGCCCTAACCTTCACTCTAACAAGTTCTGTCTCAACCGAGACAGTATACAATCTAGTTTGGTCAACATGCTTATCTTCAACTTCAAGGTCTTTTAGTTCCCTAGTTTTCTTTTTGAATATAGATTTGAGAACTAAAGCATGAAAGAACTATGAAAGAATTCATTATACCTAATGAATTCTTTTTATCAAAAGTAATGTTAGTTATAATGTAGCAATTATGTTCCCTGCTTTAAAAAAGGCTTCATTACAAGTGGCGGTTATGTTTGGGTAAACATGCATAAAACCAAGGCTTTTACTTTCAGCATGCACTATATGGAAAAAGAACAAATGCATGCAAGTAACTTTTACCAGATTTTGCACATAAAAGACTGAAGTTATCTTAAAGACATGCTTTTTAATGGTAAGAGTCACCGGAAAAGAGAGCATTTTAGTTGTAAATGAGGAAATGGCAGAAGTGCCATTTCCAGGGCAAAAGGAGTATGAACAACAAAAAAAGTGCAGAAAAGGAAAGTAAGAGCATTTTAGAAAATGGCAAGTACCATAGTTCACTTTGGATGGAGTGTTGTCAGTTTGCACTGAGGGTCTGGACAGAAAGCCAGGTCTTCAAGTTCCCTTAACAGTGCTTGTAGCAGTGCTTGGTGACTTGTTGCCTCTTTACTCACAGCAAAATCAACAGTTCCAAAATTGAAAACCACAAAACTTCTACCTCCAGAGTTCCTGCCACGTCTTGACAAGCTCTTCTGGGTCACAGTTCCAGTTCTTGAAAATCTGGAAACCTGGAGTCCACAGTGGCAGCTACACCAAAAAGTGTATCTGCTCCAACTACTGCAAACACTTCATGAACCTCCAATCCTGGACATCTGTGTTTTGTCATGGAATTTCAAGCTTTTAAGTTCCAGTTGATTTTTCTTTTTCTTTTCTCCTTTCTCCTTTCTCCAGAGGAAAGCCTTTTAACACCACAGTCTTAAAGAGTCTTTTGAGGTACATCCAGATTTAATTACAAAAGAACTAAGACCAACACATTTTTCTCCAAACAGTCATTTCTCTTGAAGGGAAAGCATTTGTCTCTGGCCCTTTGGTAAAGGGAATAGTCAACTAATTTTTTTAGACTTTTGAATAAAATATCAGAATTGGTAACCTCTAATCATACAAAATACACTTAAATATGTCTGTGTTCACTTGCTTCGAGAGCTGTACCACTTGATAAGCACCACTCCACAAAACGAAAATGTTTGAAATGCAACCGTTCAAACATTTTTATAGTGTTTGCTGGATGATGGCCTGGAATCTGAGAAAAGCAGCTGACAATTAACAGAGAAATAAACAAAAAATGGCATTTTGGCCATTTCAGTCTCACACTTGCAGGCAATTAGAATACAAGGTTGGCCAGGAAAAAGTTAAACTTCAAATTACTTTCAAATGTATTGATTTTGTGGTTCATCCAGAGTCCAACCAAACTTTTCAGAGATTGTTAACCTTCAAATAATAAGAACCAAACCAAACCAAACCAAACCAAACAAACCAAACCAAACAATAACCCCAAACATCTTCAGGAATCCAATGCCTGGTTCAGTCTGTTCCAGGGAGCCCACTTACTAAAAATCCACCTGCACCATTAGCTGGGTTTGGCAGCACCATTTAAAAATATGCCTGTTCACTATCAACCACACAAACCAGGGATACAAAATAGGAGCAAACGATGGATGTCAATCATGGTCGTAGAAAATAGTCAATGAAAGAAAAGTAGTCAGGCACCAGTACAAGCAGCAGAAAAACAATTGCTGGGCCAAAGATTACATTTCTTGATACTACAGAACATATTCACTCCTAATTGTAGCTGCTTTATATTGGGTGCCATTGTACCATATGTATCAGCCACCCTTCAGGCACCCTACGGTGAAAGGAAAGGGCTTAGAATAGGAGCCAAGCAGTGAAATGATGTTACCCAAAATAGCCATTATGCATTAAGAAGCAGCTCACATATACCAGGGACTCAAATGGGGGCTTCAAATTGGTTGTGAAGGGTCCCAAATGACATGTAGGCCTCAGTTTCCTCCCGGTGGCATAAAATTGTTTTTAAACTCTTCCTGGTCAGAGCCCCTTTGAAAACTTTGCTACGGATGGATACGCTCATTCCCCTAGAATGCACTTTCCCACATGTTTCTGCACACCAATTCAAGGAGCCTGCCCAATCTCCAACTCCAATAGAAGGTTACCGGATTTAATTTCGGGGAATGAGCAGTTGCTAAGTCTTCTTGCAACTCAAAGAAAATATACAGACAATAATCATCCTTTATGTAAACGGACGCTTTTGTAAAGCGCTTTCAATCCCAGACACACACTGATAGGCAGAGGAGGAAACTGAGGCGCAGACAAATTAACAGAGTGACTTGCCTAAGGTCACTCGGCCAGCGGGTGGCTAGGCCCGGAAGCAAACCCAGATCTTCCGACTCCGGGGCTCGAATCCCCTCCCCCCAGCTGCCGCCAGAGCTCCCGCTCCCCCACTAAGGTGGC